ATATATATATATGACATGCGACTACGTTTTAACACGATCATTCACCTCTTTCAGTTTTTTTTTCTTACATCTCGATCTTCATCCAACATTCTTCTGTTTGACGCGTCATGGATGCTGCGGTGTCCTTTGACAGCTGCTAACGGGTGAACTTCCTCAGGGGGATATAACACCGTATATCATTCCCAACCGTCTTTCTCTTTCTCCCTCTCTATTTCTCTTTAATTCGATCCTTTCATTTCCTTTCGTACGTACGTACTACAATGTGTCAAACAAGTAACCCCAATAAAATGAACACTTAAGTTGGATTTATTCTTTTATCGGATCAATCTACTATCCATATAAACTTTAAATCACAGTACATACCTGTATCCAAAGGTTGCATAACACCGTCACAGATATTAACACCGCCACTTTCACCTCACAAAATATAATTTAACCACATATATACCTACTTTTTCCGTAATAATATATGCATACGATCTGCTGGTAATTATGACAATGGATTAAATCAATAAAATGGGAAACAATTGTTTCCTCGGGATTTACTTCAAACCAAATTTTGTATAAAGTAAATTGTAAAAGAAATTTTGTTATTGGTTTTAATTAGTTATCATAATTATTGGCACATATATCTTACATGCACGCACGCGTTCTTAAATTCTAGGAGACAACACAAACTCCGTTTGAGACTTCGTATTCTTCTTGAAAAATAATTCGGTACAAACCGGATCGAACGGAAAGAGAACATTTCACTCTCTCTGATGATCGTAGAACGTAATTACGTTTTACACGAAGTATCCACTTTCTTTAATTCACCCTACGTTGGGGGCGTATACTTAAATTCTTATCGAATTAAGTCGTCGGTACTTTAGCGAGTTAAAGAGAGTTTCACTCGTTGACGCGTCGTTGTCCGATTTCGTCCGGTTCAACGATCCACAAAAAACGAAAGATCAAATCAAAGTAGACAAGTCTTCCAATTTAACAACACATTTTTCTTCTTTTTCTGATTGATTTAGCGTTACCAAAATGGCCGCCGTTGTCGTCGTCGTCGTCGTCGTTGGATTCGATAATCGAACGTACGAGCTTTGATAAAACATCGAAAATCTTGGGCTATCAATAAACGTAGATTCTTATAAAAAGAAAAACATGGTATTAAATCATTGGAACCATAAGCCCGAAGGCTTCTTCTTTCTCCTCAAGGGTGAATTAGACGGGAAAGAGATAGATAGTTGAGTATGAATGGTGTTTAAACGGTATAAAACAAAAGACAGGCGATTCACCGAGGCGATTAATGATTGGCTGCGCTTGAGGGGCTCGAATATATTGCTCCCTCTTTTTGATCTCTCTCAAAGAAAGAGAGAGAGAGAGAGATAGAGGAAATGACCGATAGCGATTTGGGAATGGTAACGTCGCCGCCGGCGTCTGTGCTGGCATCATCATGCACAGGGACAATGGAGGACGAGCAGGAAAAGTCCTCCCTCGATGGATCCATCGACATGAATCTGGTAAACGGACCGAATCCATGGCTTCCGGCCTATGGTTTCCAACTACAACATCATTCCCGTTTTCAATCCACACATGAAGATCTACGTGTTAAAGGTTTGCTCGTTATATATACATATACATATATCTTTCTCTCTCTCTTTCTCTTTTTCTTTTTCTTTTTCTCTCTTATTGCCAGTCTTTGTCTGTCCTTTATATCTGTCTGTCTCTTCTTCTCGCACCTTCCTCTTCTATCCGTTCTCATACCAGTTACTTCTATTTTCTCTCTTCCTCCTCTTTCTCTTTCTATTTCCATCTCGCTCATACTCATAGATCATTTTATTCAGTACTTAATACGGAACAACCTTCTTGCTTTCATGATCAAGACCGCTTTCCCTTCTTTCTTGATACCATCTATCTTCTACGAGATACTCCTTTGATGATTACTTCAATAGCTCGTGGGAGGATCTTTATTTTTCAAGGATTTTCCGCGATCAAGTTTGTTGTTGTTGTTTTATTCTGAACAAAATATTACGTCGCTATTGCAAGTAATGTAAATACGTTGGAACGAATTATTTGAACGTTCGCGTTTCACATCGATCGATCGATCGATGAAATAAACCTTTCTGAAATTCCGTTCTTGATATACTCTTTAATAAATTTAATTGACTTGGAAGTAAAAACTAACGATAATTTTCCGTACAAATAAACTCGTATTTAATGATCGACCAAGGATAAATGGAAAAGTTATTATCTTTTCAATGTATCTTTTCTTATTATATGAAAACTTTCATAAAATTTCTACTTGAGTGGTAAAAGAAAAAGTTGAATTTTGATAAGAATCATAAATGTTTGTTTTATTATACAGCTCATAAATTTACAATAGATTTAGTTCTATTCCATTTATTTAACGTTATTTTAAAAATTCGACATACTTACTTGCTCTACATAAAAGAATTATTTGTAATTGCAGACGCAGTACCAGTACAACAAATAGATTTTTTAGAAACCATTTTCGAAGAGACCTCTGACGATTTGCAGAGTGATTCCGATCATAGTGGTACGACTTATTGGTTGGGATCAGATTCGGAAACGGAAAGTGTTATTCACATTGAGAGAAAAAACGTTACGGGTATGTCTAAATGGATCATTATTTATATGGTAATATTTCACATTCAACCTTATATACATATAATCATTCAATATTATTTTCCAGGTGAAAGAATAAATGATAATGATGTCGAATATAATTCTATAATACCTAAGAAGAAATGCCGAAGAAATAATAACACAGACGAGCGAGATCCTTATGCGACTTTTGATGATTTTCCAAGATCTCCGAGATCTTCAAGGTCCTCTGGATCATCTAGATCCAGTTCATTGTTACAGTTTGAGTCTCTAGAAAGGACTTGCGCCACTTTATCACCGTCCAGTTATAGTTTCGATTCTCTTGAGTATTCCAATCATTCGAATGTGTCTCACTTGGGGAACACATCACCGGATAGTCTTGAACAAGATAACGATGCAATAGTGCAAAATGGGTTTTCCAATTCTGTCGATCATTTTCCAAGAATCAGGCCCTACCGTAGTTTCGAAAGTTTAGATATTTGTCAAAAAGCTACGGACTTTGAAGAGGTGACAACTTTCAATGAACGTATATCGTCTTATCCTAAGAGGAAGTTGAATTTTCCAAGATCCGAAAGAAATGAACTGCGATCTAGGTGAGATTTTCATTTTTTTTTTTTCAGAAACGAATTTTTATAACGCGACGGTATAGTTTTTAAAGTAAAAATAAATATATTATTATTGTATATAAAATTACGTGAATTGCATGAATAATCGTGTATAGTGCGAAATAGAATATACATCACATTTTAACTGTCTTGGCAGCGGTTACACAAATCGCGCGAATTAGCTTTAGGTATAACAAATGTTTGTTGGCTAAGATAAATGTGATCCTGGCCATGAAGAAACATCCTTGACTTTACACCTATTATTATCAAGTTTAGAAGTTAAACTATTGTACAAATTATACATTATATTTAACAAGATTTATACACACAAAAAATGTATTGTTATTATCTTGCCGTTTCTATTGCATTATACTTTCTAAAGTAACTCTATAAGTTTTTATTTTATATGAAACAGAAGCTTTTGGTATGGAGAGGAAGAAGAGGAAGAGGAAGAGGAAGACGAAGAAGAATACGAGAACGACGGTGACGACGAAGAATTTGAAGGAGATGATCGGTTATTAAATTCAAGTCGCCATGGTTATTTCGAAGACCGATTGCACATCTTCGGTGATTCGAGTTGCAACTACGCGACGTCATTGGATTATAAAAACACTATAGATTTGCGAGAGATCGGTATTGAGTCAAAAAGGGATGCGTTCTTAGATCTGAAGTCTGGCCAAAAGTCAACGTCGTCTTCCACGCGTCTGCTACAGACAAGTTTAAATATAACCGGTAGCACGGCTCATGGTCATAGTAAGATGAACAGCGAACACGATGCTCGTCATTCTCGTCATCATCTTCGTCAGCAACAGCAACGTTTCGGTCACGAGCATCTTCACGAGCAGCGGCAGCACCAGCAATATCAACGTCAACGTTGGACCGAAGAAGAATGTTTTAATTTTAGATTCACGGATAAATCTCAAAGCGCACCCAGTCTGCCTTCGATCGTCGACGAATACGCTCACGATCCAGAACTCGTTTCTTCGAGATCAAAGTCGTTCGTATCAACGTCTAATTTATTCGAGAATTATACTAAAGTTAACAGCGTACCGATAGATCTGGATCTTTGTGGGGTATCAACATCAACGAGAGAAGAGGATGAACGATCGTGTAACGATATGAGTATGAGAGATCACAAAATGGCGGAAGTTAAAAGCGTACGCGGTCTGGAGGATATGCTGAATCACGAAGATGGCGAATTGCTTGGATCTAACGAGATGGAGAATAATATAGAGACAACAAAACGACAACGATCAACATGTTCGGTTAGAACTCAGCCTGCGCAAAATGCGAGAATCGATGTTGGAGCGATGCACAATGATCTATCGGCAACGAATATGCAGAATGGCGAGGATGAGAACATTGATGCTGACGGTGATGAATACAAGGGCCAACTACAGATCGCATCTACCGTGAAGACTCAAGATCGTAGTAACGTATTGGATATAGCGATGGCTATGGAGAACAATATAGATGCGGTAGTCGACGTGGCCATGAAACGGTTGCAACAAGAAAATGGTGGTAGCAACGATATTGTAGATGCTATTCGTAAGCAGTATGCCAATAAGCAAGTATCGCAGAAGGTAAAGAAAAATGCTAGTTACGAATTGGCCCAACAATTTGAAGTTGACGAGAGAAGTTTCCGAAGGCGTGCGATACCATCCTCCAGTGATGAAAATACGAGATCACCTAGAAATACTGGTAGGAAGAAACGTGTTATCAATAATGCCAGTTATGAGTTGGCACAGCAATATGATTACATCAAGTCTCTTGAAGCTAGTAGAAACGCTTTTCAACGAATGGACGCCTGCGATGAACTGGAGGAATCCAGTTCAGGACGATCATCGCATCTCAAAAAACCTGACTCTATATCGGCGCGTACTGGCAGCAGCTCAGCGTTGAATCTAAGCGGTGATTCTCGTGCCAACGATTTCGCACCCTCCCTCGGCTCCTATTCAAAGTCTACGGAGAATGTATCGAAGCGTATCGACGACGAATCGCTTTTTGGTCAGATAAAAAAAAACTCGGCTTTATTTTCGGTGCATGGAGAAAATGTTAATAAACGTATTTTCGTAGACGATGAGGTAGATTATCCCTGCCTTGAGAGTAAACCCATAGGCAAGCTTAACCTGATGGATACCATGTTAGAAGAGGAAGAAGATCCCAATAATAGTGAACAAAAAAATAATGACAGGACCTTTCGTGACCTTTTGGAGGAAACGATGTTGCTTGAAAATATCGCTTCCTTGTGCGACGATGAGACGACGAGAGAAGAAGAAAGTCCTGGCGAAGTGAAATTGCAAAAAAAGAGATCTTTCATAGGTGAATTTTATCCAGAAAAGAACAATTTGTCTACTAGTACAAGAGAGAACGAAGATGATTCACCATCGGAAAAAAGAGAGAAGAGAGAGGAGAAGTTGACAGATGGTGGCGGAGTAGACGACGAAGAAGAAGAAGAAGAAGACAACAACAAGAAAAAGGAGCGGCAAGTTAAGAGTGAGATTTCCGGTAGGAGCATTACGAAGAAGATGGTAGACGTTGGGGAGAATGTAGAAACGATGATAGAGGGGCGTAATAAGAAGAAGAAGGAGGCGGAAGCGGTGGTAGAGCAAGCGTGGGGACAAACTGTTCATGGTGATCGTACTTCCCCACCAAGCAGCAGCAATAAAGCCTACAGCCTGAAAGTTAGTCAAGGTAGTGGGAGTCAGTCAGCGACGGCAGTTGCTTTGCCAGTTGATACGAATCATTGCAGTGATCGCGACGGACAACAGGAGGAAATGATGAAGTCTGCAATAACAACGGCGACGGTGACAACGAAGACAACGGAAAATATAACTTTACCGGCAAAAATTGACGATTTTTCATCGACGAGTAAGACCATGGATTCCTATACAAAAAATGTTTCAAAACCAAGAATAAATACCACAGTTGAAAGATCAGCAAGTCTCAATTCTAAGCAACCAACGGTGCTGAAGAGCGAAGAAAGGAAGAAGGGTGGTATCGGTTGTTTTTTACAGAGATTTTCTAAGTTAAGGTTCAGTGGTAGATCTAAGGTACCTCGCTCGGAGATACAAACTAAAGGCGATTCACGTATTGCACAACATTCGAATCGCAATGAGTTTTATCAGGAAAGAACGAAGAAGGAACCGGATTACATCATTATACCCTTGCATCCGCCGGACGAGGAAAGATCAAAGGATGAGGTCGTTGCACTTGAAAGTAGACCTGACGATACTAGGAGAATAAACGTCGATCTTCAAAGGAGTGCCTCTAGTGTTAGGTGAGTCATTTTGTTTTTCATCGGTTCCTACTGGAGTCAAACCAACGAGTATAAATTCTATGCTATTTTTGTATCAGACGTTCTGTTACGTTGCCACGAAATAAGATCAAGTTACGAACTACCCAAATATTACGAATCGTCGTTTTCTTATCATTTTCGTTTAAAATAAAGCAGACCTAGTTGTGTATATAATACGTTTGCGCAGCAAGCGATTTAATTACACAGATATATATATATGTATAAATAATACGTTTCGCAAGAACGCCCTTTCGTTTCTATCATTATGAAATACAAGGCGTATCTTATACTAAGCTTGACTGGTACCCTTACGCCTTTGCCGCGTGTTTGTTTACATTAGATTCGATCTGATGCTTTTATCGAGCAAGGGATCTCTTGTTTGACACGCATTTTTCTTTTGGACGTTAGCCAAAATTTCTCTCTTATCTTTTAATATGCACATTGATCTCGTTTAACATTATTTATGGATCATTGCTGGAATATTATGAATAATAATAGTAATCATTTTGTTTTTCAAAGTAAACAGATTTATTGTTACGCGAAACAAAACTGCTATCTTGACAGTTTCTGATACGTAATAGAGTTCCCCGGGACAAACATAGGATAGTTAACAAATGACGTGTAGCATGCATGCATGCACCACCACCAAACGTGGATAATTCTATTTTACTTTATTGGATTTTCATGAAATATATCAGCTTGTTCGAGAATAAGTTTCTTAGAAAATACTAGTTACCGTTTGACTAGCTTCGAAGAATAATTTATAACGTGAGTTCGCGTTGAGAAAACCTTAATTTCTTTCCCTTCTCCCCCATACCCCTTCTCCAAAGATCTGTAGAAACGGAGCTTTTTATAAACCCTCGTTTATTGCTCGTTCCGGGAAGTACAACCTAGTTAAAAGTATAACACCAAACATTCCCACGTTTTCGTATCTCCATTCGCGAATGATTCTTATTTTTCTTCTTCTTCTTTTTCTGAGCTTTATTAAAGTCTCGTTTTTTAACATCATTCTTCTTCGTGAGATCGTATAAGTTTCTTCTGATTGTTTTTTATCACTGTCTTTGTTTATCTCTCTCTTTTTCTCATTCTTTTGAAACGTGATAAGTAAATGCAGTTACAGTGTTTAGATACGATGCACGGTGCATTGTACTTACGAAGTCTGGCCATGTTTGAATTGCATGTTCTAGTAAGCATCAGAAATAACGATTACGTAACGCACTATACATGCATATATGATGAGTTACGAGAGAAGAGAAAGAGAGAGAGAGAGGGAAAGAATATAATTCTTACCGGTTTAAGTTAATTGCAAAGTATTTACTAAGATGAGTTAACTCATATAAACACGTAATATTATTTAATGAATGTAATATTATTTTGTATTGATTATAATATGTCGTATAAATGTTGTTGCGTTGCTAAATGAACTTAACTCACTAAAAAGGAACAGTTATGTCGTTCTCGACAGCAGAATTGGTGTTCCGTTACGAAGCTCTCCAACGAAGGGGTTGAGATACTCATCGTACATACTTAATTCACGATTTCCTCGATTACATCCGTTAGTTAGAACCTGCACGTACCACTTTCACGTTTAGGCATACTCTGCTATTTTGTGTCATTGACACGCGACGTCGCGTAGGTGTCATTCTGTGTCGAGTACATGATTATTGAGTTCCTGACTCATGTTCGTTACTATTCAAGATATTATAAACTAACGAGATATGATTTTTAATCTAACTAACTTGTTTATAATCGATTTATTTATAAATATCGATGGGAAGATAATTATCCAAATTGAACGGATACAAATTGGTTTCATATGAAATGATTACAAATCTAACATGGCGCTTGGATTTAATATAAAAAGGTAATATTTAATAATTTGTAATATATTCTAGCAAATGTGCAAATAAATCTTTTGCATACTTAAGCGATAGAAAAACATAGTAGAAAGTTGTAACGTACGATGAAATTTTTTCTTTTTCTAAAATCAAAGATTATCGCCAATGGTTTGACCATCGACATATTTTCTTCAAATAATTTGTTTATTTTTTTTTTTCTTTACATATAAAATTGCATCTTCGTGAGATTCTTCGAGATTACATGCAATAATAACTTATTGCTATTTGTGGGAAATGATAAATGCAAATTTATACATTCGCAATATATCTGAATCGTTATCTGTATGTTTTAGAATTTTTCTTTTTTTTTTTGTTTCTCTAATAAATTATCTTTCAAACGGTAAAAAGATAAAGAAACTTTCTTTAATGGATATAAGACACCATTCTATCGTTAGATATAACTAACATAAGCTTTAGAACAGTGGTTTACCATATGCTTTTTAACATCGAGGACACACATGCACTGTTCTAAGACTCGTCGCGGAGTATGAACCCTAAATAACTACTATTTTATTCTTATTTGATAACTACGAAGAAAATCCGTGTGAATGGAAACTATTGTAAGGAATACGCGTTCTCATGAATCGGATTCTAACGATAAGTAATAGAAATAGTATTAGTAATAGTAATATTCTTACTGGAAATTGTAGATATTAAATGGAATCTTAGTTTAAACGATAAGATAAAGATAATTATCAAAATTTGACCAAAATCATTATTTCGATGTTGCGAAATGAAAAAATCTAGCAAACATAATGTATTTACAAGTATCAGAACTGTTTTGACCAATCTTAGACGTTTTGTCGATGTCTTATTGTCATGTATACGGTGTCTTAGAAAAAGACGGAAACCTTAAGGAAATAAAGGTGTTATTTTTTTTCAATGCGAACTGAAAATAACTATAATATACGAATTTGTTAAACGAGATCATACGTAATATCTAACACGTTATTTTTTTTACAAAGTAAAATTAAATAAAAAGAATTTTATGGTTAAAAAAAGAAAGAAAAGAAAAACACAAGTAACAAGGGAAGTTAAATTGACTTTCTTGGTAGTAGTAGAGTAATAGGTAGCTTCTTTTTGGGGTAACGTATGATGTAAGAGTCTGAGAGGGTTGTTTCAGTTCCGGTAGGAGGGCGCCAGTATGCAGCAGCAAACCACCCCTACCACCACAACCACCCCGTCTAGTATCATCCGGGTGTAGAAACTCGGGTGCGGTGGCATCATCGTCGTCGACGACGACATCGGCACCGTTGTCGTTGTCGTTGTCATCGTCGTCGTCGTCGTCGTCTTCATCGTCATCGTCGTCGCCAGCAGCAGCAGCAGGGGTGGTGGTGTCGCGCCGACGCGCCGCGACAGACCTTGGAAATCCGGCGGCCATCGAAATGGCGAAGGCCCGCGCGATGCAGGCTGCTCAGCAAGAGCAGCGTCCGGTCGGGCTTCTAGAAACCGACCTCGATGACGAGGTCGTATTAAAAACAACTACGACAACGATTAACAACATTGTTGATTCATCGACGGGCTGTAACAACGTTGGTAACGGCAACAAAAAAACTAGAAGTCTTTTAGATCTGAACCACACCTCCTCAGCAAGCGTCATCGTACCCCAAGGTACGAGCTTAGAGAACGCCCTACGTGTACCTCAGTTGCCCGTCGGCTCTTGCCACAGGAACCAACGAAACGACGGAACCGCGTCTGGCATCGATCAACGCCCGCACAAATCCATGGAGTTTCTCCTTGACAAGGAGAACCTTCATTTTGTTAAGGTAAGATATCATCGTTTCTTTGCTTTTTATATTCTTATTCACCACCACCCCTATCTTTACTTTTTTTTTATTTCTTATCTGGTTACTCTTTAACGCTATTTCTTTACTTTATTAACGAAGAAAGAGAAAGAAAAACTAAGGAGAGACCTATATTAAAATTTCTACTACTTTCATGACGTTTCTCAATCATTTATTTCTTCGTCCATTCTTATAAATCATTTTTTTTTTCTATTTTTTTTGTCGGTGATCTTTCTCATTTTCTTTTTTCAATTTTGCACCGTGTTTTTCGCGTTAATAATCGTCGTCTCAGCTACTTACTTACTTACTTACTTACTTACTTACACTTAACGATTACCGTTTCGCTCGTAAAGTCTATAGACAGATGTCAGCTTTAAGATATAAAATAGATAATGATCTTGACAAGTATTAGAAAATACCTTATCGGGTTTTTTTGTTTTCCTTTGACATTAATCTCTTGCTCTTTACGAATTCTTTTGATATTAATTATCTCTATAATATAATAAAGTGTCAATGTTAAAAACTAGTCATAGGTAAGTTAACTACCTCTACTACTCGTTTTATCTCGTTTTAATTGCGACGAGTCTTTGCTCGCGTAACGCTTTTGATATTTTCAAATTATTATTTTCTCTGGTCCCCTTTTTTATTTTTTTTTTTTTATCGTAAGTATTCTCGCGTTACTTGGTACTCCCTTTAATAGCGCGCGTGCTCTTTGTGAGAAGTACGGTAAAAGTGGAAGTCGCATGAAGATCATCTATCTCCGTGGTGTGCGTATATATACATTTATATATACATATATCATGTACTTTCATATGAGGGTGCTATTTCGTTCTCAGTGTAGTATTTTACACGACTTCTTCGTGTATGTTCGCCATTACAAAACATCAAATGGTAAATTAGCATCCCTTTCAATTAACACTGTTAAACATCGATCGTTAAACAATATGATGCATCCCGATACAATTTATTATATTCGTGATAATGTCTCTCTTAACATATTCATGTTATAATTCAATATTCATAACATATTTAATTTTCAAGGTCGCATTTTAAAATATTCCATACTATTTCTATCTATTTTTTCTTTTACTTGTCCTAACATGTCCAATAAATTTTCCATTATTCTCTGATTAAACTCATTTAATTTCGAAGAATCCCGATAGGAATGTCTGATATTGAATCTCGATTGCCCCTCATAGAATATTAAATTAGGTTAATCAAGGATAGAAGATAGTTCTGGTACAATATCCTTTGAATGTAGTGGTACCTCTCTCTCTCTCTTCGAACCCTCCGTCTACCTGCCCTCATTACACATTCCAAGCCATTTTCAGCCGTACTAAGATTCTCCCTTATCATTTCCCTTTTCTCCTAAGATGACGTACGCACGTTCATACTTTATAGAAACTATTTTTGTTCTACTTTCCCCTCCTCAGCCCCCTTCTATTATCATGATAATGGTCGACATCTGGCGTGATGAAAAATGTTCATACCCTCTTAATTACTTTGATACGCTCTTCCATCTCCCTTCTTCCCTCCTCCTCTTCCCATAAAGGAATCAACCACACGTCATGTTCAACAAGTCCTCTTTAATATGCCATTGTTACATGTCACTCCAAACGATTCATAAATTTCTCCATGTGGAAAGCAATTGTTCCAAATTCCTCCTCCCAACGAATCAGACAATGCTCGTTGCTTTTGACAAAAATAGGTCTCCAATATTGTGCTGATATATTTTTAGAAATCTTATCTGCAACTATCTGTAAAATCTAGAACGCTGTCTAGAAAATCGTTGGAAGTTACCGATTATCGATATCCGTAGTTTTGTGTCGTATCTTTTCTCTTCGTTACTACATAAGAAGGAATCTACAAACTAAACATGTGTATAGGAACAATATTGTATAACTCAATATCCATAGATACTAACCTAAAGCAGTGGTTGTTGTTCGTCGTGTCTACTACGGTACCGTCATCGGATATCATGATGAGATCAATAGCGTTCTTTTACGAAGTGCGCATAACACCTTCCAAAGCAGAATCAGCTTTCCGCTTTGGAAAGTTTCCACACATCGGTTACAGTTACTACCCTTTTTTCTTTTTCTCTCGACATTACTATTATTCTATATCTCGTCCTTATTGAATAGCATAACTGGAAACATTTATTCTCGAAACTGATCACAACTCTGCATTGATAACTTTTACAAAATTCTTTTTCATTTTTTTATATTCTTTTTTTCTCTCTTTTACTTTTATATTTTAAAACATCAATCAAATTATATTTCGTCTTACTTTCAATCTTATTTTTGTCAGTGAATTTTGATCAAAAACAAATATTTATGATCTCATTTTTGTCAAATGGTATTTTATCATCGTATAATGAAATAGGAACTCTTCACTTCCGGTTTATATTTGAAAGCAACGAAGACGAAGTCGAAGATGAAGAAGAAAACGACAACGACGACGATGATCTGCGCCAGCGCCCGTTTGTCTCTCTTCTCCCCTCTTATCCAACAAAATTGTGTCGCGTTTAGATTCTTCGTATCTCTGGCAAATCGATTCGAAGACCCCCACACCACCTGCATCTAAGTACTTTCATACCACGCATCTATGCAAATGGCACACATGTATTATGCCGAGGCGTAGAAAGAGAGCTGCTGCTGCTGCACGTGAAATACTTAACCGCGTGCCACGCTTTTACAATCATAAACACACATTGCATTGAAGGGACCCTCATTGCGTAACATTCTTCCTATTCGTACATTGACGTTAGGCTTCATTCGTACAGGAATTTATGTCACTGTTTTAACATAATGAATATATATATTTATTTGTATGCATATATATATATATATGTAATATAAGTATATTTACTGTGCCACTTACCGACCGAATTCCATGCTCCTTAAGAAACACTATTATGTATTCATCGAGATCTATTGTTATAATATATTATCTCTCTTATCTGAAACACGTATAAGTTTTCTTAAATAATAATTAAAAAAACATCGATCATTAGCCTTTCATCGAGATTCACTCGAAAAACTTCTGGGGATGTATCTTCGATTGTTTTGTAATATTTAACGATCAAAATCAGTGTCATGGTAAATTTCTGTAAAAATAAAAAAAGTAATTATAATATGCATAGAAGATAAATTTAATGACAGTAAGATTAGATTAATATTTTATAAATATGGCAAAAAATGTTGCAAGCTTTTTATGAAGAGAATTATTGAAGTTTAACAAAATTTATACAGATAGAATGATATATAGAAACGATATCAATCGTAATGATTTTGCAAAAGGTTATTTTTTTTTATATAATATTTTTTTTTTTATAATATATATAAGTATATATAATATGTATATATATATATATACATA